TCCACAATAATAGTAGGAGTCTTCAACACACCACTCTTAGTAAAGGACAGAACATCTAGAAAGAAACTCAACAAAAACAATGAAGATCTAAACACCAAAATCAACCAACTTGACCTCTTAGGCATACGTAGAACATTCTCCCCAACAGCAGCAAAGTATACATTCTTTTCCAATGCACATGGAATATGCTCCAGAATAGACCACATTTTAGCCCACAAAGCAACCCTCAATAAAATACAAAACATTGAAACAATACAAAGTATTCTCTCTGATCAAAATGCCAAAAGAGTAAAAATCAATAACAGGAAGAGCAAGGAAAAGAAAATCAAATACACGGAAACTGAATAACGCTTTGCTTAAAAACAACTGTGTAATAGAAGAAAGCAAAGATGGAATAAAAAAATTCCTAGAATCAAACAAGAATGAAAGCATATCATACTAAAACCTTTAGGACATGGCAAAGGCAGTGCTGGGAGGTCAATTTATAGCAATAAACACACACATCAAAAAAGAGGAATAGACCAAAATCAAAATGTTAGCCCTACAACTGGGACAAATAGAAAGAACAACAAAAGAAGCCTACAGCCACCACAAGAAAGGAAATAATAAAGATTAGAGCAGAAATAAATCAAATAGAGAACAGAAAAATAATAGAATCAACAAGACCAAAAGTTGGTTCTTTGAAAAGATCAACAAAATTAACAAACCGTAGGTCAAACTGATAGAAGAAAAACAGGAGAAGAAGCAAATAACCCAAATAAGAAGTGAGATGGGGGACATTACAACATACCCAACTGAAATAAAAAGAATCATAACAGAATACTATGAAAAATTGTACTCTAACAAATTTGAGAACCTAGAGGAAATGGACAAATTTCTAGAAATACACTACTTAACTAAACTAAGACAAGCTGAGATAGAAAATCTGCACAGACCCATAACAAGAGAAGACATTGAAAAGGTAATAATAATAATAATAAAACCCCCCCTCCCCCCAAAAAAAGCCCTGGCCCAGATGGCTTCATTGGAGACTTCTACCAAACATTTAGAGGACAGCTCACACCAGTACTGCTCAAACTATTTCAGAGCATAGACAAGGAAGGAATACTCCCAAATTCATTCTATGAAGCCAGCATAACCCTGATACCAAAACCAGGCAAAGACATCACAAAAAAATAAAATTACCAAACCACTATCTCTCATAAATATAGATTCAAAAATTCTCAACAAAATTCTAGCCAATAGAATTCAGCATCATATCGAAAAAGTAATACACCATGACCAAGTGGGATTCATACCTGGTATGCAAGGATGGTTCAACATTAGAAAATCAATCAACATAATCTACCACATTAAATAGAACAAAAGAAAAGAATCACATGATCATCTCAATTGATGCAGAAAAGGCATTCGATAAAGTACAACAACAAGTCCTGATAAAAACTCTCAATAAAAAAGGAATAGAAGGGAAATTCCTCAACACGATAAAGGCATCTATACAAAACCAACAGCCAACATCATTCTCAAAGGAGAGAGGCTAAAAGCATTCCCCCTGAGGACAGGAACAAGACAAGGATGCCTTTTATCACCACTCTTATTTAACATTGTGCTGGAAGTCCTAGCTAGAGCAATAAGGCAAGGAAAAAAAAAAAAAAAAAAAAAAACAAAGGGCATCCAAATTGGAAAGGAAGAAGTAAAACTATCCTATTCACAAATGATATGATCTTATACACAGAGAACCCACAAAGATTCCACAAGAAAACTACTGGAACTAATAGAAAGATTCTGCAGAATAGGAGGATACAAGATCAACATAAAAAATCAGTTGGATTCCTATATACCAACAAAGAGAAGTTTGAAAAGGTAATCAGGAAAACAATACCATTTATAATAGCCCCTAAAAAGATAAGGTACTTAGGAATAAATCTAACCAGGAATGTAAAAGACCTACACAATGAAAACTACAAAACACCATTGAAAGGAACCAAAAGAGACCTACATAAATGGAAAATCCTCACCATCCTCATAGACAGGAAGACTCAACATTGTGAAAATGTCAATCCCACCCAAATTGATCTATAGATGTAGTGCAATCTCAATTCAAATACCAACAGCATTATTTAACAAGAGGGAAAAACTAATTACCAGCTTTATAGGGAAAGGAAAGAAGTCCCAGATAAGCAAAACGTTATTGAAGAAAAAGAACAAAGTAGGAGGTCTCACACTACCTGATCTCAGAAACTTCTATACAGCAATCACATAGTCAAAACAGCCTGGTACTGGTACAACGACAGACACACAGACCAATGGAACAGAATCAAGAACCCAGATGTAAATCTATCCACCTATGGTCAGCTGATCTTTGACAAAGGTCCAAAGTCCATTAAGTGGGGAAAAGACAGTCTTTTTAACAAATGATGCTGGCAAAACTGGATGTCTATGTGTAAAAAAAATGCAATAGGGCCCATACCTCACACCATACACAAAAATTAACTCAAAATGGATCAAAGACCTAAATATAAAATCTAAAACTATAAAGATCATGGAAGAAAAAATAAGGACAACACTAAGGGCCCTAATATGTGGCATAAATAGGATATAAACCATAACTAACAATGCAGAAGCACCAGAAAATAAACCAGATATCTGAGAGCTTCTAAAAATTAAACACTTATGCTCATCAAAAGACTTCACCAAAAGGGTGAAAAGAGAACCTACAGACTGGGAAAAAACTTTGGCTATGACATATCTGACAAGGATCTAATTACTAAAATCTATAGAATACTTCAACTCCTCAACTACAAAAAGACAAATAACCCAATTAAAAAATGGGCAAAAGATATGAACAGACACTTCACCAAAGAAGATATTCAAGTGGCTAACACACACGAGGAAATGCTTGCAATCATTAGCTATTAGAGAAATGTAAATCAAAACTACAATAAGATACCATCTCACCCCAACATTACTCATATGAATAAAAAAAAAAAACAGAAAATAAAAAAAATGCAGGAGAGTTTGCAGGGTAATTGCAACTCTTATGCACTGCTGGTGGGAATGTAAAATGGTACAGCCACTATGCAAAACAATATGGGCTCACCTTGAAAAGCTAGAAATAGAAATACCATACAATCCAGCAATCCCACTCCCAGGAATACATCCTAGAGAAATAAGAGCCATCACACGAATAGACATATGCACACCCATGTTCATTGCAGCATTATATTCACAATAGTGAAAAGATGGAAACAACCTAAGTGGCCACCAACAGATGAATGAATAAACACATTATGGTACATACACACAATGGAGTACTGTGCAACGAGAAACAACAATGATGAATCTGGGAAACATCTCACAACATGGTTGTATCTGGAGGGCATTATGCTGACTGAAATAAGTCAATCACAAAAGGACAAATATTACATGAGACCACTATTATAAAAACCCAAGAAAATGTTTACATGCAGAAAAAAACAATCTTTGATGGTTATGACTTAGAAGAAGAATGGGGAGGGGAAATTTCTAACTACATAGTAGACAAGTGTTAACTTTGGTGAAGGAAAAGACAGCATATAATATAGGGGAAGTCAGCACAACTTGACTAAGGCAAAGTCATAGAAGCTTCCTAGCCACATTCAAATACTTTGAGGAACCAAATTACTAGGGCTTAGGCTGGGGACCAAGGCTTCGGGGGACATCTAGGTCAATTGGTATCACATAGTTTATAAAGAAAATATTCTACATCCTACTTTGGTGAGGAGCATCTGGGGTCTTAAAAGCTTGTGAATGGCCATCTAAGATACATCTATTAGTCCCATCACATTCACGGCAAGGGAGAATGAAGAAAACCAAAGAACTAATGGACCACATCTTCCACCAGCCTGAGCTCAGAAGAATTAGATGGCGCCCAGCTACCACCACCGACTTCTCTGACAGGGATCACAATAGAGGGTCCCGGACAGGGCGGGAGAAAACTGCAGAACAAAATTCAAATTTACTCACACACACAAAAAGACTAGACTTACTGGTCTGACAGAGACTGGAGGGACCCTCAAAACTACGGCCCCCTGGACACCCTGCTAACTCAGAATTGAAGCCACTTCCGAAGTCCACCTTTCAGTCAAAGATTAGACAGACCTATAAAACAAACGATAACACATGTGAGAAAAGTGCTTCTTAGTTCAATCAAGTATATGAGAGCAAATAGGCAACACTTGCCCAAAAGCAAAGATGAGAAGGCAAGAAAGGACAGGAAAACTGGATGAATGGACATGGAGAACTCAGGGTGAAAAGGGAAATGGGGAGCATGCTGACACATTTCAGAGATTGCAACTAATGTCATAAAACAATTTGCGTGTAGTTTTTGAATGAAAAACTAATTTTTGCTGTCAACTTTCACCTAAAACACAGTAAAACTAAAAATTAAAAAAAAAAAAACAGGATATGTGATGAGTGGGCGTTTAGGAAGTGGGTAGAACTGAAGGTTTGGTCTCTATGGAGAAGACCTGGGTGAATTCTCTAGCAAATGGGCTGTGAACAGTAAGACATGAATATAAAGATCACCAATGGCACTGGCTCTGATGACATCAGGCTAAATGAATTCATGAATGGTGGGTCCAGTTATCACAGTTTCTTGCGTTTATCTAGCAGCCTGACTCCTGCAAACCTTATAGCTAGGCCAGGCAAGAAAAAAGACGTGCTCCTAGAAACTACTGTTCACTAATGAAGGGGACCTTTATTGCTGAGGTGCACAGGCCACATGCATGTGTTGCCCTGTGGGCGGCTCCTACACATACACGGAAACCATCTTCTGTTTACTGAGAAAGGTTTGGGGCACCTGAAGCTGTCTTTTGGAGTCCTCCCCTTAGATGGGACAAAGAAGTGATCATTCTTCACCTACTTTTGGCCACAAAAGTTTGGGAAGTAGGTGGTTAGTGTGGTAACTACTTAGCAATATGGTATTCACAGAGCCCTTCCTTCTTTGATTCCTTTAACAGGGATGGCCTAATTAGTAAAGATGAGATGATGGCTTACTTCCTCAGAGCAAAGTCCCAACTCCACTGTAAAATGGGACCTGGATTTATCCATAATTTTCAGGAGATGACCTATCTCAAACCAACCTTCTGCGAACACTGTGCAGGATTTGTAAGTCTGTTTTCCATGGTTTTCTCTTGTATTTCATTATTTGTGCAGCATTCTGTGAAGGAGGGAAAATGATACCCTAAATGGAATTCATCATCTGGCTTGGGTCAGAAGTAAAATATGAGGGCTCCATGAATTAAATTAAAAATAGAAGCAGTACCTGTGGGCGGAGCTATGCTCTAAAAATGCCAGGTAGGCAGAGACAGAGAAGGTAGGTGAAGTCTGTTCATTCAAGAGAGTGGTTTGCCTATTAATCCCTGCCTGGGATAGATGGCAGCCCAATGAGCCCTGGTGTTCATCACTAATGTTCATAAATGTTTGCAGTTAAGGAGAGCATTTATCTTAGCCAGTTCCCTTTGAGTTCTCATTTGATGTGGTGTTAGTCACTAGAAATCCCTCATGGCATGGCTCAATAATTCACTACTCAAAAAGGAAAAAAAATCTTTTTGGAGAGAAGATGGTTATAATAATAAATGACGTTTACTCAGCACTTGACAGTAAAGGAGTACTTCCTCAGACATTATTGTCATTAATCCTCATAACAAGCCAGTGAGGTGGGTGTTTTACTCTACCCACTTTGCTGATGAAGACAGGAGGCCCAGAGAGGATAACTCAAAGTCCCCAGCATTGCATAGCTAATAATTATCAGAGCATGGACTCAAATGCAGGCCTTTTGACTTGGAATCCTATGCTATACCTATACTCCTGTGAAAAAGGAAGATTGTATACTTCATTTCTCCCAGTTTTGATAATCCTTTGGGATCTAAGGTCAGCTTTTGGTCCTTAAATGTAGACTCCTGGGTTCGGAATGTCTTTCAGTTGATACTCAAATTATATGAGATAGAATATATGATCTTCCAGGTGAGAGTGGCCCAGTACCCAAGTAAGTATGGCTAGTGTTTCTTTTTCTGGACACCAGAGCCCAGTTATTTTTGGTTTATTTGGCAGTTATGTCACACTGTTGGCTCATATTAAATTTGCTGCTGCTATTACATGCTGCTGCTAAACTACAGTTTTTCCAACTCGTACTTGAAGAACTGGCTTCCGAGGTCCCAAGAGCAAGAGTTAGTGTTCATCCACACACCTTTCTGAGAATGGGTAAACAAAAGGCAGAAAGGCAGGTTACTTCAGAGATGGCCCCAGGTGGTCAAGCAGCTAAAAAGGCAGGGCCAGCCTAACCAGCTTTCTTCATCTGTCCAGGAGAAGGAGAGGCTCTTCTTCTATCACTGTCTCCACTGGGACTGGATCACCAGACCACTTTGTCATAAAACAAGTACATCGCCCTTGTCATATGTCTCTAGTTTCTCTATTCTGATGTGAATTTTTTGGAGTATCTAGACCTGAAAAATTCTGAAGTGGGATGGGGCCATATGTAATACTCTCCTGTAAGGTGGGGCTCAATGAAGAAAAAGGTCAGACTAATAGGCCATGGCAGAGCTCAGACAAGAGTCAGGATGACGCATCTATCCTTCAGTGGGCATGGGAGGTCTAATCTCTGCTGTCCAGTCCTTTTGTCCTATCTCCATCTTCTGCAGAGCATTGTTCTGTAGAAGCAGCAAGATGTCATATGTGAGAGCCTGATCATCAGAGCAGAGGTGCTGGTGCTATGTTCTTGGTGCGGCTATGATGAGGTAGAAAGCTCTGGACTTGGAGTCTAGAACCCTGGCCCTTACTAACCGTGTGTCCTTGACCAAGTTATTGACCATCTTTGAGCCTCTGTTTTCCTGTCAGGAAAAGGGAGTTAATACTTACCTGCCGTGTTTTTGAGATGATTAAATGATATCATACATGTTGCATGTCACATAGTCAGTGCAGAGTAAATACTTCTTTTTATAGCATTCCTTGATGCTTTTGGAGTTTAATTAAAAAGTGCTCATTAATTTTTATAGCCCTTGTTATTTTTTAAAATATGTTAAATTTCATTGGTACAATTTAATTTGGTCTTCACTCACACACATTAAAAAAAGTCCATTGGCTTTCAAAGGGATTTATAAATATCACTCTGTAGATTTGTCATTGGAAAGAATTGAGAGGTTATGCAAGTGCCTGGACCATCTGCTTTTGAAATAAATTCCATTTTAAGAGTAAGGAAAACAAACACTCTACTTGCCCTCCCATACATTTATTTTAGAATTAGAATTTTAGAACTAAAAGAGTTCCATTTATTCCCTTATTTTATAGATGAAGAAACTGAGGTAGAAGAAACTTTGGAGAAGTTAAGTGACTTCCTTCATGGGTCATTAGCAGCAGGACCATGGCTCATGTCCAAGTGTCCTGACTCCTGGTCCAGGGCTCCTTACACCATGAACAATTACTCCGAAACTTTCCACAGCCCTTGGTCTCTCAGAGGACTATAGGAAGTCCTCCTGCATATCCATCTACACGAGGTCGGCCTCTCCTGTCCTTGGGCGGCATGCTGCTCCAGTGCCTCTTCTTCCATGTCCTCTCCCAGTTATCAAAGTCAGCATTTTCAAGCAATGTCCTGACTTGCCCTCCTGATAGGACTCTTGCTTGACTGTATCTTCTCTAGCAGTTCCTGCAGCTATGCTAATAATGTTCCAGATCCAGATATTAGGATGTTTCTTCTTAAATCTTATCCTATTTTGTCCCAGCTCAGTGGCCTGTGGTCACACACAAAACACCCAGGAGCAATGACTTCTTATCCTTTCCTCAAGTAACACAGTCTTCTTTCCCTGCTTACTAGAGACCTTGGGATTTATGAGACCTTGCCAAGTGATTTCACCTTTCTGTACTCAGTCTCTTCCTCATCATCATCTATGTGGGTTTATAGAGAAAAAATAGCCATGTAAGAGTGGGAAGAATTGGTACCTATTACAAAAGTGAGAGTGTATTTTTTCCCTTGAAGGAAAAAAGTTCTTATATACAGTATTTTAGTTAGGCCTGTCCCACCTTGGAATACTCAACTTGATGCTGATGATTCCCAAGAGATCTTAAAAAATGTGTAAAAATGAGAAAAATATTATTACCTATCCCATAGGATGTTGTGAGGATTAAATTAGTTAATGCATGTAAAGAGTTTCAAACTGTGCCTCTCGCACAGTACAAGTTGAATAAATGTTAGTCATCATTATTATTATTGTTATTATTATTGCCAGGGGCTCCGTGGGGAAAGAACTTTCTATCACTACAAAGTTTTCCAGGTCGGCAACTTTGCAAATTATTTAATTTTCCTGAGTCACTGCACCCACTTCTTACCAAAGGGAAGCAAATGAGATTATTTTAAAGATTGTTATAGCTCTTGGCATGACATGATTATCCTGACATCCATGTCCTGCTTCTATATTGACCTCCCAACTCTCTCCCAGTCATCCTAGGCACACAAGACTTTGTGTGTCAAATAATCCTCCCTGTCTCCAAGATAAAGTTTTACCCCTTCCCAGGAGACATCTGCGTATTATAATGTGCTCTGAAGGACCAAATAATTTTTAAAGGAATAACTCAAAGGAATTGCTCTCCACTGGTATAATATCTTTGTCAGAAGGAAGATTAAGGAGCAGCCTTCTTAATGCCCTTGATTCACTTCACATTGGCAGCTGTCTTAATTATCTAGTGCTGCTATAACAAAAATACCACAAGTGGATGGCTTTAACAAAGAGAAATTTACTTCCTCACAGTAAAGTAGGCTAGAAGTCCAAATTCAGGGGGTCAGCTCCAGGGGAAGGCTTTCTCCCTCTGTCGGCTCTGGAGGAAGTTCCTTCTCATCAATCTTCCCCTGGACTAAGAGTTTCTCTGCACAGGAACCCCGGGTCCAAAGGACGTGCTCTGCTCCTGGCACTGCTTTCTTGGTGGTATGAGGTCCCCCTGTTCTCTGCTTGCTTCTCTCTCTTATATCTCAAAAGAGATTGGCTCAAGACAAAAGCCAATCTTGTAGACTGAGTCCTGCCTCATCAACATAACTGCCACCCATCCCACCTCATTAACATCATAAAGGTAGGATTTACAACACACAGGAAAATCACATCAGATGACAAAATGGTGGACAATCACACAATACTGGGAATCATGGCCAAGCCAAATGGATACACATATTTTGGGAGGGACACAATTCAATCCATGACAGCAGCTACTTACTCTTCTCATGGGGCCATGATGCCCACACCCCAGGGGCCTTGTTCACCTACACTACACTGTGAATGGCAACTCCAGTGTCCCCAAGAGGCCAGATGGGCCTGCTTCTTTTAAAATCATTTTATTAAGTAGACAACAGTCACCTAACCTAGCCACGCAAAGGTTAGGACTGGAGCTTCTCGAGCTTGAGCTAAACCCTTTTAATTAATTGATACTATGTTACTAGTGTCTCTGTTACCCATGTGCAAGTGCTGGGGGAGGGAGGACAAGAAAGGACATGGAAGGGCCCCCTTCTTCACAGGATTTAATCTGTCAGACAGCAAAGACAACACCACCAGGACAATGCCCCGGAACCACCTGGGCAAACACTCCATCACTGCACTGTCCCACCCCATTGCCATCGAGTTGATTCTGACTCATGGTGACCCCATGTGCATCAAGCAGAACTGTGCTGCATAGGTTTTCAGTGGCTGATTTTTAGGAAGCAGATCACCAGGCCTTTCTTCTGAGGTGCCTCTGGGTGGACTCAAATCTCCAACCTTTCAGCCTAGTATAACCATTTGCACCACCTCGTATCTCTCCTGAGGCGTTCTTTACTTCCTACTTGTTCACGTCATGGAAGTCACTAACTCCTTGGTGGGCAGGATCTAAATCATTTCTACATCTCTCACAGCCCTAGCACAGGCCAAACATAGAACAAATGTGAAGAATGAATACATGAGTAAATATTAGATCTTTTCCTGTTTTGTACTCTTTTAAGGTGCGAATACTACTCAGAAAATGCTTTAGCAAAATGTAAATGCTTTAATGTGAAGTATACTTCGTAGATTGCTTTATTTCCTGTAGTGGGGGCCAAGAGTAGCTAGTGCCATTAAAAAGAAGGCAGAAGGACAAATGAAATGAAATGAAGTCCTGATGCATGACACAACATGGATGCACCCTGAAAACATTATGTTGAGTGAAATAGTCCCCAAAGGACAAATACTGTATGATCTCATTTATATGAAATAAGCAAATACATAGAAACCAAACGTTATTACTGGTTTCCAGGGATGGGAGGGAGGGGAAAAGAGAAAGTTTTTGCTTAGGGGGCATTGAGTTTATGTTAATGGTGGTAGAATGATTTGGAAAAGGATAGGGGGAATGGTTACACAACTTGAAGAATGTTATCAATGTCACTGAATTGTACGTGTAGAAATTGTTGAGATGGCGATGTTTTACTATGCATTTTTTCACCACACACACACACACACACACACACACAAAAGGCAGAGAGGCAGAGGGGCTTCCAAAGACAAAGGGTTTCCACTGAAATTTTGCTGAGCGTGCACCATGCCAAAGTCCAATACACGCACTCACTTTAGTCTCCCATCCCAGCTCCCATTTGGCTCCTAGAAAGGAAAGGGAAGCAAAGCTCATGTTATCACCACAGCTGGAGTGGGATGGGAGGGGATTCTATCTGACAGGAAGGGTGTTAAGAGCAGCTACATCCTGTTTGTGTTGGACTAGTCATTGAGCTTCCCAGGACTTCCTCCTTTGTGGTCTTGTTTTTCCTTCCAGATTTCTCTTCAGCTTCCCTGACATTCCTTTGTCTTTTGTTACAGCTCTGGGGCATAATCAAGCAAGGATACAAATGCAAAGGTAAATAAATGCTAGTTTGTTAAAATTTTTTAATTTGATATTTGGGGCAGGAATCGAATTTGTTCAATTAAACCATAAAAGCTCCTGGCATCAGTGAGAACGTGAGTCTTTTGGGCCACTGATAGCTGAAGTGTTCTTGTATCCAGGGAAAGAGTTTTGGAGAGCTCAAATCTGAATTTTATAGCTTGCTCCTAGAGGATAGCAAACTACCCTTATCAATCCTCATAAATCTAGCCCTCATCTGTAAGATCTCTTGGGAATCTTCAGCATCAAGTTAAGTTGGATATTTTGAAGTGGGACATGCCTAACTAAAATACTGTCTATAAGAACTTTTTCTTTTAAGGCAAAAAACACACTCTTGTTTCTGTAATAGGTACCAATTTCTTGCCATGCTTACATAGCTATTTTTTCTCTATAAACCCACATAGATGACGATGAGAAGAGAAACCTTAAAATTTTTGTCCTTTTGGTTAATTAATTCATTAATTAATTAATTTCCTCCATTTAATTGTAATTCATAAACTGAATAAATATATATTTGACAAATTTAATATGCATGCATATTCAGATGCATTAGAAAGTGTGTTGCTCTCTCTGTATGTATATATACATATTACATATACTGGTGTTTAATGTAAGAAGTTAATTTAAGATTATTGCATATTACTGGTGTTTAATTGGAAACCCTAGTAGCATAGTGGTTAAGAGCTATGGCTACTAACCAAAAGGTTGGCTGTTTGAATCCACCAGGCGCTCCTTGGAAACTCTATGGGGCAGTTCTATTCTGTCCTATAGGGTTGCTATGAGTCAGAATCGACTCGGCAGCAATGGGGTTTTTTTATTTTTTTTGGTGTTTAATTTAAGAAGTCATTGGATATTTTATGTAGACTGCTTACATTTTTAAGAATCTAATAATGCTCTTGAACAATACAGTAAGTCTACAAAAGGAAGCATCTCAGGTTAGTACCTTCTAGTGCCTTCAGGTTAGTACTGCTCCCCAGTGATGCATTTTTCTGCAGCTAAGACAACTTCTAGAATTTGGCCCTCATTTTGCATGAACAAAGAGCATCTGTGAACCTTGCTGGGAGCCACCCTTTAGTGTCTCTCTGCATCAGTTGTCTTGGTGTAACTTGGATGTTTATTTTCAAGCAGCAAAAAGATACTATAATCCCTGACCGCCCAGCAGTGAGTCAGTTTTCTTCTGGTTTCTACCCCTCCATGTCTTAACACACAGACACACACACACACAGTCTCAAAATTTTACGAAGATCAAGATCAATTAAACCCTTGGAACATCTTTGTATACATGATGTTTTCTCTTAATGGCCCACAGAGCCAAAAACATTAATTAAAATAGACTAAACATCATTGCTATTTGCTTTTCCTTCATGTCATCACAAAACCATTTGTAATAAGATCATTTGGGAGAAAATTGGTTATTGGAAATGGTTGTAAAGTTCTTCTTGATAGGAAAATATCTTGTCTGTTCAGTGATTCTAAGTGAAACATGAGGCCCTCATTACATGAAATAATTGTGTTGCTGTCTTCCAAAGTGGCCAGATTCTGTCTGCCCTAACCAGTGATTAACATTTTACTTTTTTAACTAAAGCATCCTCATGGGAAAGTTCATAGAATCTGCTGCACATCATTTCAATGCCGTAGTCAAATATAGAACACACTTATTGAGCAAGTTTCTGCATCTATACAAAGAGAAGATGCAGAAGATACAATCACTTGCCCTAGAAAAGTTTTGGGAAGTGAAGAATACAAAATCCAGAGAAGTACCGAATGGAGAACACTCCCAGTAAATGATCAGAGGCAGCAGTTGGTGCTGAGAGAACTAGAGACAGAGGCCTCTCGCCCCCATTCTGGCTTGGGAACCTCTGTGCAGAGACTCCACGGTGGCCTGGGGTAAAGGCCCAAATCCAAAAAAACCAAACCCATTGCCCTCGAGTAGACAGCGCCACATAATTTCCATTTAGTTTGGGCAAAGACAATTTACCCAGGCTAGATTCTGCTTGTTCACTCCATAGGCACTTCAATGAATCATGTAGAGGAACAAGCTGAGCAGATATAACGGAACTTTAGGAGCCTCAGGGAGGCAAGAGAGTCCCAGGGGCCTTTTCCAGCCCCTAGACTCAAGAGCACACAACAACAGCATACATATCCCATAGGCCTGGGCTTGACTCTGAGATTAACACAGAAACCAGGGGGCCTGATGGCTCTAGCACCACCCTGAAAGTTCAGTCACTACCAGATACACCTGGTCCCTACTAATCATCTGTGATATATTTGGAAATTTTTAGACTGTGGAGCCAATTGTCACAAACAGTGCAAAGACCTCCTGGTTCTGGCTTGCAGAAGGTTTGCCCGTGTGCCCTCCCTGGGCAGTGGTCAGGGGTCACTGCCTGGAAGCCCCTCGCTGCCCCCAGGTAATATCCTCTACTATCTTTCCTGCCACGATTTCTCTCGACTCACCTTTCCATGCCTGGTTATCACTTGAGTTCTGGATCTAAGCCCTGTCCCAGTTATATAAACACCAAGATGAGCAGCAGTGGCTAATCCTAGACCCCCCTTGCTTCTCTCTGCTTTCAGGTCTCACCAATATGCAACTCACTTGCAGCTAATTTAGTTTGGTACTTAGTCTTATCCTCTAGGACCCTGCATGTCTTCCTTGCTGTTTGCACTAACTTTCATGTTTTGCTGTCAAACTATCATACATTCAATACTCACCTTCTTCACCCCTTCCAGTGCAGGATGAGGTGTTTGAGTTCCCTGGGGTTGCTGCTGGACATCAGGACCTGGACAGCAGAGCCATCACACTAGTTACAGGCTCTTCTCGAAAGATCTCCGTGCGGCTACAGCGGGCCACTACCAGCCAGGCCACCCAGACTGAGCCTGTATGGTCAGAGGCTGGCTGGGGAGACTCAGGGTCTCATACCTTCCCCAAAATGAAATCCAAGTTCCATGACAAAGCAGCAAAAGACAAAGGCTTTGCCAAGTGGGAAAATGAGAAGCCCCGGGTGCAGGCTGGCGTGGATGTTGTAGACCGGGGTACTGAGTTTGAATTTGACCAGGATGGAGCAGACATGAGTGAGGCCAGAGAGGACGGTGAGGTGAGTGCTGTGTCAAACCACCATAAAATCAGAAGAGGTATGCTGAAGGTGCTGAGATGAGAGTTACAGTGGGTTCGTGGGAGGCAGAATGGTAATTTTGAAAGCAGAATAGTTGCAAATCAAGACATATCACTTTAAGTCCTGCCCTTGGCTAGTTATGTGATTTGACCCTAAGCAAATGATTTCTTCTCTTTGGACCTCAATTTCATCATGTATAAAATTGAATTGGATGATTTCTAAAACTTAGTGCATGTTGTGATGTCTATGCACATGTCTATGAACATGCAGGTTGTGATGTCTATGAAATGATGCCTCAGAGACCAATGACTGTTGCATTTTGCCAACATACCAGTATGCTGTACAGATCATTTTAGTTTTCCATGCTAGAATTAGGGCCCAAACTCAGGTGAATCGGGGAAAGCAAAAGATATGTACAGATACAGGAGAACTGGAAACTTTTGGCTCCTTTTCAAAAAAGAGGCCTTGACAGCATCAAGAGGGAAATGGGTGGTAAAAATCAGAATAGAGTCACAGGAGACCTCAAGGTTCTATAAGCCAGACTCTGCCTCCATACAAGAATTGCACTCAAATCATCCAAGGTAAACTGGGAAGGCATATGGAACTTGTTGGAACAAGCTGAAAATATAAATTAAGGGAAGATGGAGCTGGATAAATTTATTAGTCAATATTCCATGGTGTATAGAATCCATCAGTATTGCAACTTGAGGCTTGAATTTTTCCTTCAGTTCTGTCAGTCTGAGAAATGCTAAGCATGTTCTTCCCTTTGGTTTTCTAACTTCAGGTCTTTGCACATCTCAGTATAATACTTTGTCTTCTCGAGCTGTCCTTTAAAATATTCTGTTCAGCTCTTTTACTTCACTATTTTTTCCATTCACTTTAGCTTCTCTGGAAACCCTGGTGGTGTAGTGGTTAAGAGCTACGGGTGCTAATCAAAAGGTCAGCAGTTCGAATCCACCAGGTGCTCCTTGGAAACCCTATGGGGCAGTTCTACTCTGTCCTATACCGTCCCTGAGTCTAAATTGACTTGACGGCAACGGTTTGGTTTGTTTTGGTTAGTTTCTCTATGTTCAAGAGCAAGTTTTAGAGTCTCTTCTGACATCTATTTTGGTCTTTTCTTTCTTTCCTGTCTGTTTAATGACCTTCTGCTTTCTTCATGTATGATATCCTTGATGTCATCCCACAATTTCTCTGGTCTTCAGTCATTAGTGTTCACTAAATTCGGGTGGAATATACACAAGGTCATACTTTGGCTCTCTTGGGCTTGTTATAATTTTCTTCAGCTTCAACTTAAACTTGCATATTAGCATCAGGATTGAAGGAGGACTTATTAACAACCTGCAATATGTAGGTGACACAATCTTGCTTGCTGAACGTGAAGAGGACTTGAAGCACTTACTGATGAACATCAAAGACTAAAGCCTTCTGTATGGATTACACCTCAACATGAAGAAAACAAAAATCCTCACAACTGGACCAATAAGGAACATCATGATAAATGGAGAAAAGATTGATTTGTCAAGGATTTCATTTTACTTGGATACACAATCAACGTCCATGGAAGCAGCAGTCAGGAAATCAAATGATGCATTACATTGGGAAAATCTGCTGCAAAAGACTTTTTTAAAGTGTTAAAAAGTACAGACATCACCTCGAAGACTAAGGTGTGCCTGACCCAAGCCATGTTTTCAATCACCTCATATGCATGCAAAAGCTGGGCAATGGATAAGGAAGACTGAAGAAAAATTGATGCCTTTGAATTATGGTGTTGGTGAAGAATATTGAATATACCATGGACTGCCAGAAGAACAAACGAATTTGTCTTGGAAGAAGTACATCCAGAATACTCCTTAGAAGAGAGGATGGAGAGACTTCGTCTCACATACTTTGGACATGTTATCAGGAGGAACCAGTTCCTGGAGAAGGACATCACACTTGGTAGAGTAAAGGGTCAGCAAAAAAGAGACCCTCAATGAGATGAATTGACACAGTGGCTGTAACAATGGGCTAAAACAAAGCAATGATTGTGAGGGTGGTGCAGGACCAGGCAGTGTTTTGTCCTGTTGTACACAGGATCTCTATGAGTCGGAATCAATTCAATGGCACCTAACAACAACAGTTATTAAGAAAAAGGATTTGGGGAATTTGGTGTCATATTCCTAACCTTTAAAGCGAAGGTCATGGAAGACAGCCATTGCCTCCCTATGGAGTCATTATCATGCGCAGAATACTTGGTTAGGCAGAGATCCTGTTGGGTCAAGCTGGTGCTCTGACCCATTCCATTCTTCTGGAAAGGTATACACAGCCTCCATAGTTTCCTATGGTAAGAAAAAAGCCAGTTTTCTTTAACCAACATTCTTCTATTTTTTTTCCTTTCTGAAGACAATTAATGAGACTACCCATTCTCTTCAGTCTAAGTTGTTCAATCTAAGTTGTTGCTGAGACATTTTTTCCATTTCTATAGCAACAACTTTTGCTTTTTAATGTTTTATTGACATAATTTATATATCACAAAATTCACACATTTAGTGTACAACTGAGTGGTTTTTAGTATAGTCACAGAGTATATTCATAGATTGTGATCATCACAATCAATTTAAAACAATTTCATCAACAAAAAGAAGCCCTGTTCCCTTTAGCAGTAATGGTCACAGCAGTACATCAACAAGGAACTGCCAGAAATTCAAGCCAGATTCAGAAGAGGATGTGGAGTGAGGGATATCATTGCTGATGTCAGACGAATCTTGGCTGAAAGCAGAGAATACCAGAAATATGTTATCTGTGTTTTATTGACTATGCAAAAGCATTGGACTGTGTGGGTCATAACAAATTATGGATAATGTTGGGAAGTGTGGTAATTCCAGAAACACTTGCGCCCATGCAGAGCCTACATATAGACCAAGAGGCAATTGTTTGAACAGAAGAGGGGGATACTGCCTGGTTTTAAATCAGGAAAGGTGTGTATCAGACTGTACCCTTTCACCATATTTATACTTATTATATGCTGAGCAAATAATCCAAGAAGCTGGACTATATGAAGAAGAATGTGGCATTAGGATTAGCAGAAGCCTCATTAACAACCTGCTATGCAGATAGCACAACCTTCCTTGCTGAAAGTGAAGAAGACTTAAAGCACTTACTGATGACGATCAAAGACTACCGCTTACAGTGTGGATTATACCTCAACATAAAGAAAACAAAAATCCTCACAACTGGACCAATAAGCAAAATCATGACAAACGGAGAAAAGACTGAAGTTGTCAAGGATTTCATTTTACTTGTATCCACAATCAACGCCCATGGAAGCAGCAGTCAAGAAATCAAACAACGTATTACATTGGGCAAATTGGCTACAAAAGACCTCTCTGAAGTGTTGAAAAGCAAAGATGTCACTTTGAGGACTGAGGTGCACCTGATCCAAGCCATGGTACTTTCAATCACCTCATATGCATGTGAAAGCTAGACAATGAATAAGGAAGACCAAAGAAGAAATGACACCTTTGAATTATGGTGTTGGTGAAGAATATTGAGTATACCATGGACCACCAAAAGAACGAACATATCTGTCTTGAAAGAAGTATGGCCAGAATGCTCCTTAGAAGCGAGAATGGTGAGACTTCGTCTCAAGTACTTTGGACATGTTATCAGGAGGGACAAGTCGCTGGAGAAGGACTTCATGCTTGGTAAGGTAGAGGGTTGGCAAAAAAGAAGAAGACCTTCAATGAGATGCATTGACACAGCGGCTGCAACAATGATGTCAAACATAGCAATGATTGTGAGGATGGTACAGGACCGGACAGTGTTTCATCCTGTTGTACATGGGGTCACTAATAAGTTGGAACCGACTTGGTGGCACCTAACAACAACAACCTCATCTCCCCCATTCCGCCCCAGCCATATGCTTCCACTAATCTGCTTTTTGTCCCTGTGGATTTGCAACACCAACTTTTTTTTAACCTTCCCCCACTGACCATTTTGGCATATATTTCAGTCCTATCTTTCAGTTTCTACAGGCCTACTACAACTCGAGTTGGGACTATAAATGTGAATAAGAAACGGGGGCTATCCTAGGGCCAGAGCCCTCTATCTGAGGGCTTCAGGGCGTTCATGAAAGCACTTTAAATTTTATGTGAAATTACACATGGGCATATTGATTTATGAGGAGAGGGGTCCACAGCACTGAACAGATTCTCAAGGAGGTCTGCAATTAAAAAAAAAAAGAAGAATCATTGTGTAAGATTTTCAGGATAATACCTGAACTCATGCTAGTCACTCCAAGTACCACCTCTGCCTGCAGAGGCTGTTTGCATGAGCAATGAGGCCCTCACTGAAATCTCAGAAAAAAAAGCTTCTTCAAGTGTCGTCATAGGATGCCCAGCTAGATCTCTCAAGATGGTGCCCACCTCTGGACCATCTGTGGATACAGAAGAGTGCCTGCTTTTGTTTAACAAATAGTAAACTCACAGAGGACTATTATTTCTATTGGTCTAGCACTGTTCAAATTACTTAAATCATGCCCGTGGTTTAGGAGTCACAACCTGTTAGTTAGGTGAGGGCAATCACCTATATGGTAAGATTTCCTGATCATTAATCTCTAGAAGGCAATAAAAACAAAGATCTGGCTTTTTAATTTAATTTTGCTCTTTGGAAACTGGACCTTCATATTCAGATGCTCTCTTGCCCTTTGAATTTTCTCATCTCATAAATCATAGGGATGAGTCACTGAACTCGTATTTAAGTCCATTTGTGCTAATTAAGGAAGACAGTGTGCTCTTGTGTAAAATGCATACAGTATACAGTCTCACTACTATCAAAATCAGTAACAAATGAAAAGACATCTGTCCTTGCTTAGGGAAAAGGCAAAAAGGAAAAAGTGTGACAAAATTACATCTAATTGTTGAATATGTAGATAAAAGGAGTTACTAAATTTAAGAATTTTTATGCCAGGCAAGACCTACACATTTACTATTTGCTATCAGACAATTTTTATGAGTCCTATCATTAAATATGATAAAAAGACAGGTCAAGATCACTCTCTTGACCATAAGAATATGTATATTTCCTTTATAATGCTTCTTTTGTTTTTCATTACTGTCTGCTAAATTTAAATCTAATCACCAAGTATTTATCATAAAAAGATTGGAGAATGCTGGATTCAACAAAGTTGAATATACATATCTATACATAGAATATAGAATATATATACTCTACAAGCATATTTATATACACACATATACATACATGTATGTGTATATGTAATTGTAAAAATTTGTTTTACAAATTTTCTCAGTGTCCTTATACTAATTTACATTGTGGGTTTCTAAGAGCGAACTCTTTTAACAAGGAGCATTTCAAGGGACTGTTTTGTGGAGCACTCTTTTGGAAATACTATACCAAGCATGCTTGTTTGACTTTAAGATTTCATGTGCTGGTTAGATGACAAGACCTTTATATTCCTTAAATCCTGAGAATAGAATGTGCTGATCATTTGAGATAGTATGTCAAATTCCTCTGATAAACTGCTTTAGAGAAACACTCTTATTTTGTTAAATGAGACCCAGCCATATAACAGCTTTGGATTTGTATTGCAGGATGGCTGACTTTATCCATCCTGAGGAAACTGAAGGCAATGACATTGGCTTTTGGAAGGAGCAAGATGAGTAACTCTGAAGAACACTCCAATGTTCAGGAAGTTATGTGGATAGATTTCTGGATCTTTACTGCCTTTGGACATCATGGGATCTCCCTGATTGTACTATGGGACAGAGGATTGCCC